CAGAAGAATCTGGGCAGGATACCAGCTGATCCAGATTCCGAAGAGTCTCAACTGGTCATCTACCGGTGCGAGCTGAGGAAAGCCCCCACAGAACTGTGAAATTGACAAAACAGAAAACATGGATTTGTAAGTCAGCTGATACGCATCAGAAGATACAGATCAGACAACACAGACCAGCAAACAAAGATTCGGGAAACAGACTCGACAGGACTCAGAAACGGCCAAGGTATAAAGTTCAGTGGAACCCGGACATCACTTCTGGGCCCAACACCGGAAATAGCAAAGTCAGCTGGCTCACTCAAACAAACGTTGACGGACCCAGATATCTGCGGATCTCCATAAACTTTAGCCAGCAGAAACCGAAGCGGTGAACGGATTGACAAGGAACAAAAACAGCTAGTTCAAGACTCAGCTTGTGAGTGTCAGTGGACTTTAAGCCAGTCGGCGGACATCGCAGACTCAGGAAATGTGCTCATCCAGGTCTGGGGACTCTGGTACGAGTTTGAGCCGAGACCTGGGAGAACTCAGACTCGGTTTAAAAAAAAAGAGGAACAGCTTCAGTAATCAGTCGTGAGCATAGCAAAGTCTGCAAACTCAAACTCGATATAAACCACTGCTCGGAGGTCGAGGATCCGAACACTGATCCCTGAAGACGGAAACCTGATACTGGGGCAAGAGGATGAGAAGGACAAGAAACTGAGAAACTGGGAAGGGAGTCGGTCGCGCTGGGGCAAAACTAGTCCTAGTTCGGTCAAAAATTGTGCGTGATCGGACAAACTTCGGTATGATGGAAACGAAAGTCAAAGAATCATAGTCTCAGCGGTCATGCTCAAATTCTCTCATATCTTGTGGTTGCTAAACTCTTCATTTTGGTTTGACGCTATTAACCTTGACATCTGTAGGTTGCAGGAGCCCGGAATCGGCCGTCCCGCGGGTGACAGACGCGGGCAGGATACAGGGTCGGATCCGCTGGCTGGCAGAACCCTTACTAGGTTGACACCGGTCTGAAACAGGCCAAGCAGCCTTTATGTAGCTGCTACAGTGCAGTGGCTCATCGCTTGTCAATTGCGAGATGCGGAAGCACTGCTGCTGCTTGTACGTTAAGGCAACTTGGGCACTTCGCGCCTGAAGAAGAAGAGGGCTCACCCGAGTTACTCCAGAGCTAGGTTAGCGAAGGAGGAGGGCAGCCATAGCCGCCAAGGTGCAAGCTTACCTGAGTGGGTGCATCCAGAATGACGATCAAGGGAGAGAGAGAGAGAGAGAGAGAGAGAGAGAGAGAGAGAGAGAGAGAGAGAGAGAGAGAGAGAGAGAGAGAGAGAGAGGATGGCGCAGACCAGAACCAAGAACTGACCTCTCAAAAATGGAGCAATGATAGCACAGTGGAAGACTGAAACACTAACAATCAGACCCAATCAATGCCGTGACACAGACTGAACACCAACATCTTCATCATCATCACGCAGTGTGAGGGACCTGGTGCCAAACACAGAGACGAAGGGCACCAGGTAGGAACTCATACACAGATGAGAAGGAGGGAGGAGAGGCGAAGGTGGGGGAGATATGGAGAATGCCACCAGATGTCGTCGATACTGATCCAAAAAATAGTCCCACACGATGTCCTGACCCCAATGTCAAGTCTGAATCCAGCTGTCACCAAATCCCAGTGTCACAAATCTCTCTCTCTCTCTCTCTCTCTCTCTCTCTCTCTCTCTCTCTCTCTCTCTCTCTCTCTCTCTCTCTCTCTCCGATGAACAAGAATGGAGCAAGGGCACTAGAGGGGGAGGAGAGAAGCACTGGACTGATCTCTCTCTCTCTCTCTCTCTCTCTCTCTCTCTCTCTCTCTCTCTCTCTCTCTCTCTCTCTCTCTCTCTCTCTCCGATGAACGGTACTGCAGCCGCGCTACGCTAGCGCTGAAGCCC